TTGTAATTTTTAGTATGTTTTACACCAACAAATATAACCTGCACTGACAATAATAAAAATGCAACTAATAATAAATTTAGACTTCTAATTATCAAATTTGAACAAAACAACAAATTAGTAGTAGTATTAGTATTTTAGTATTTATTAGCTTTATATTTTACTTCATTTTAAATTTGTTGTATTACATAAAAATTAAAAACAATTATATTATATATATAAAGCTTACACAGCTATGGCATTTTAGCCGTCTGCCGGAAGTTTAGATTAATTTAATAACTAGTTTTTATAAATATTAAATAAATATTATTACTTATAAACTCAATACAATATAAATATTAAATTAAATTATTATACCAAAAATAATAGATTTCAAATAAATTAATTTAAAAATCTTCGTTAATAATATTTTGCCTATATTTTAATGCATTTTTAATAAAAGCCGCTGACAATTTCCAGTTGGGGCCATTCAGTATCAGTATGGTTTCATTAACATCGAGCGCAGGTTTACCGGGAAGAAATTTACTTAAGTCATTAACGAACAGTGCAAACAATATAGGGTTTAAGACACATCCTTGCCCCACTCCGGTACACGTTTGGAACCATCTCGAAGTACATCTTCCGTCCCATACTGTTGACTTATTGTTGCAGTATAGACTTTGCAGTATTTTCAAAATTTTTGTTGAGAGATCCAGCTGGTGCATTTCTTTGTATTGTATCGAAAGCTGCTTTAAGATCTACGTATAAAACATATAACTTCGTGTTTTTTTGCAATAAATTCTTACGCTACACTAGTGAGAACGAAAATATTATCTACTGTGGAGTAACCTTTTCGAAATCCAGATTGAAATTCACTTAATATGTTGTTTTCATCTACACAATTTTTAATTCTATTATACAGGAGGGCTGATGTATTAAGAAATGCTATTTCTCTACAATTTGTTACATTATGTTATTTGGATCACGTTTTTAAATAGGGGAAACGATATGGCTTTTTTGTAACTATCAGGTGGGACTGCATTTTCAAATATATAATTGTACGATTTAGCCATACGCTCTATAAACTGTGGCGTGGCATATTTTAAAGACTCAGTTGGAATTCTGTTTTCAACTGCGGCCTTGTTATTTTTTAAATTCTGGAGCACTGCATAGACTTCTTCAATCGTTATTGGAGCATCTAAAGCCTCGTTTGTTACATATGGCAGGGCATAACTGAAGGAATTTCTACCTACATTTGTATCCTTTGCTACTCTGTGGTCCAATACTTCAGACCACTGCATACTCGGGCTGAATTCCAGACATTGTTCTTCGCCTATTCGTGCATTGAAGTCACCTGTTATCATCACATTTTCGTTCTGAGCTTCCACTAATATATCACTTAAGTTATTGAAATCATTTTGCCAGTTATTGCAATTTAGATAAACTGGGATTAAACATAATTTTTGATTATTAGTGGTTATCTCGATTACTGTTGAGTTCATAATGGGCTTGTACCACAGTACCGCAAAATTGCAATTGCTTTCGTACATCATACAGTTTTCCTCCACTGGCTCGACCTCTATTTGCTGTTCTTATTGCAGTCTCCCAATGAAGATTGTATTCCCTAAATGTATTTTCAATATATGTAATCTGTCTAACTTACTAAAAATGTTTCAAATAAAACAAATATGTCGAATTTTTTAACATAATTCATAAATTCTATATACTTATACTTATTAGTTAAACCAGCTACATTATGCGATAATATTTTAAATTTATATGCTGATTTAGTGTCTGACCTGTCTGCATTTGCATTTTTTTGAGTTTCACAGTATTTATTTTTTGTTTGACATATTTGATATTTATTAGCGAAATGTAGGCCAGTGTACTCCAATTTGACACGACTATTTCCTTCTCTGCTAACAGTTTTTTGGTTTTATTTTCTTATATAGCGTGTTTCTCTCGATCACTTCATTAACTTCAGTCTCAACATACAAACGTTTTAATTCCTCCATAAAGTCACCTTCACTTTTTAACATAAATTTTGCGAGTCTTTTTGATGGCTTCAAGATCTCTATTCAGCTGTAATAAAGCTGATTTATTTTCCTGTCTAGTAAAGCTTAAGTCCTTTCCAATATAAATCTGAGTGCCACGCAGTTTTCTACCATTTTTTAAGACATCTTTTCCCATTTCAGAAGTTTCCAACTCCGCGATCACACCCACTTTATTTTTCATTCCAAATATCACTTTTGTTAATATTGATTTTTCGTTAATATTGATTTCAGGTCATTGA